GACTTCAGAAGGATTTTATTTCTATTTTAACAGGATTTTGGGCAGCTTATCTGTGGCTCTTCTTGAGGGAGTTTGTCACTTGTGTAGCCAATTTACAAGTTTTCACAGACACGATTCCCACACAGTACTAATAGATCCATTCTTGTGTATTTGCTGGTTTAGTAGTTTATTCCATCGATCTACTGTCCCACTATTTTGAGGCTGATGCAGTAGCTGAAAAATCCATTGTACAAGATTTGACCTAAACCAGGCTTGTCCTACTTCATTCTTAAAATGTTATCGACGCTAAGATTATATTTCTCTGAATAAGGGAGAAGTGCCAAACCACTGGCTTAAGGCAGTTGTGAGACCAGTGATGGCTTAGGCAGAGAATATATTCTGAGCCCCACTCCTGTAAGGACTTCTTTGCACCCTCCAGGTGTTTGTTATAATACACATGAGAAGTTTCCCAGATTAGTTTACCTTCCGTGAAGCTGGCAGAATGTTGGTGATGTACCATTGTTTAAAAAAAATGACACAAATTTACAATTTGTTGCACCAGAACTTTTGCCAGTCCTCTTTTTTGACATCCTCCCTTATTGCCTGTTGAAATAAATCCTATGTCCCTATGTGTCTAAGTCACTCCTGTAACCAGGTACTGCCTCAGAGTTTTTTTGTTATATTTTTTCTAGCCAAATTATCAAACTCCTGGTTGCGTGTTGCCAGGATGTTTAGAGTTCTGGAAACTACATTCAATTTTTTATGGCTATATTTTTAGACAGAGCTATATCATGAATCACTATTCAGTGTGATGTTTTTTCGCCATACATTTCAGTCATTTACTTGGCAATATTTTTTCATCTAGGCACTGGGTGGGACCGCTAAGTGTTATTAATTAAAGCCAACTTTACAACAGGAACAGACACACAAAACTTGATCTCTTTTGCTTGAGTTGATAGCTTGGCAGTTAACAGCCCTTAGTAAACCGCCAAGTTTTCAGGGAGTGAGTTAAATCACTTCCTATATTCTTCCCATAATGACCACATCACCCCCACTCATTTTCTTAAAGCCTTCTCTCTTTGTCAGGCTCTGTTGATGGGTGAACTGCAGCAATGCCATGGAAAGTTCTGGCTTTCCAGTAGCACTTACAAAAGAACATGTTCAGTTCTATGATTAATTTTGTCCTATTCAATTTATAGATTAGATAAAAGAAAATTAACTGGTTTAATCTAAAGCAGACATTTTCTCTAAAGACAGAATACCTTAAAAAAGTTTGGCTGAGGTCTTAATAATTAAGAGTCATGTAACTAAGGATTAAGTCATGCAGTTAGAAAAAGGATGTTGAAATTGTATCCTCAAGCACTGCCCTAGCTACTGAGTTGACTGAAAAAGCTGAGTTCAGTGAACAGGTATTAACATGAAGAAAGTGCAATAATTCTTTTCTCTCCTGGTGATTTTGTTTGATGGTGCCACTAAGGGTGAATATATTGCTGTTTACCTAAAACAATAGGTGGCAAAAATAAATCAAGAGCTCTTCTCTTTCTTACTGGTGTTCAGGATCTTTAGGTAAATAGGAAAGGTTGCAGTATAATTAAAAATCTTTCAGACCTATGTTCTTTGTCATGTTCACCAAATGTCTTTTTTTCCTCTGAGAACTATCATCACTCTGTTCTCACTCTGTCATCACACCTCACTCACATGACACAATGAATGTTGCTTCATATATTTTGTTCATGCTTACTTTAAATTATTCCATTAAGAAAAACAACTTTAAAGGGATGTTGTGTTCCTTCTTATCACTCAGCTGTTAAAAGTGGAATAATCAGAAGGCTTCACTGATCAGAAAACACCCATTTTCACCAATTCTCTAAGTGTTTTTTATCTTTCCATCCAATTATCTTTTATCTATTAATTATGTACACTGAGCTCCATGTGCTGTGCTAGCTAGTCTGTTGCTGCAAACTCAAGTAGTGACTTTACAACTAGCTCCACAAAGTATTGTTTTGTCAATTTTAGATTTGTGATATTTCTGATGTTAAAACATCTGTGTCTAACATTAGCAAGGACCTTTATTCTTTGAATTATCTTTAACATACAAGTTAAAAACTATTCTTGTTCCCCCTGGAACATATGTAGATATTTTATAGATGAGAGTTTTCTGAGATCAATGTACATATTTGATGTTTTCTATGAGGTGGTCATATACCAGAGAAAATAATATTTTTTTTAATACCATTATAACTCTAAAGATTATTAAAGATTCAGTATCAACAGATTCAATACTACAACAGTCTTCAGTTGGACTGTTGGAGTTGTTTTTATTATAATTCCATCAGTACAGTATTTTTGAGTACATGAAAGAGTAGATTGATATGAACTATAAATAAGATAAAATAAGTCCATCCACTGGAACTGTGAGATTTTTGACAGTTTCCGAACTTTTACAATGATCAACATATTTTTCGAAATTTTAAGTCTTTGCTTCCTTTCTAACTAATATTTTAGTCCACTTCTTTAAAAATAGATACAAGCACAAATCTTCATATTTCATACTTTTATTAAAATTCCTGTTACCTAATTCACTTACCCAGCAATATTTCTTTTGTTTTTTGGTTTTATCCTGAGTCAGCCATCCACTGAAATTGGTTGTGTTGAGAACGGAATCTTTTAATGAAAAAATTATATTTTATTCTACTTCTTCCAACCTTAAAGGGGGTATCTTAAAAACCTGTTTTGATTAGATTTTCTGAAAGGATCTATCCATGCTGAAAAGTGCAGGCAAAGCTCAACCTACCATAAAATGATTAGAAGCCTAATAGACCATCAGCTTACTGTACAAGCTTACTTCAATTGTTAGAGCTGTAAGTTTGATCTGACTGGCAGTGTCCCAGCCTTAAGAACACTTCAGCCATCACAATGGAGGGGAGCAAGAATTCATGACCAATGTTTCCTTTTTAGTAACCTGTGATCTGTAATCTTAACCTTTCTCCAGCTTTGGAAACAGTACTGAATGTCGAAAGACAAAATGTCCTCAAACCTGTAATGAAACATCAGCAACAGGCTATTCTGACTCATAAGTAACTCTCAGGTCTATCAAATTTTCAGTCAAAGAAAAATATTACCATTCTTATTTCTCCATCTTTTAAAATTTGTAAACTGTGCCTTCCCCAAGTTCTCCCTTATTTTAATGAATATGCACAGAAGCTAGCAAAATCTACTGAAAAAAACTACTGATTATGAAAGGTGTAATAAATACTTCTGTAGATATATACTACTTTGGGGTAGGTATAGGTACTAGTAAAAAGTGTAAAAAAGTAAGAAAATTTATTGCACTTTTTAAATTCCAAAAGTTTTAACTATTTCATTATGTATTTATTACATTATGTAATATATTTTATATCTATTATTATGTATATAAATTTTACTGTGGTTTTGTTTGAGTATTTTTTAAAATTAAAGCTTTAGGAAACAAAGGAATTACTACAACCCAGAAATTAAATTAACAACTGACTGCAAGGGTTTAATATTTAGTTACTTTGTCTCTACTGGGCCTCATACAAATTTGTGGGTAGCAATATCATTGTATTTTGGATAAGGCTTATTCAAATTAAATTGCTGGAAGTAGGTCAAGAAACAAAAAAGGTTCAACCTTGATGAGGCTTTGGCAGCAGCTCTGCTACATCTGTGTAGTGTTGTTGTGGGGCTCAATGGTACTACAGCAGACAGTGATAATGAAGGAAACTGGGAGTCCTTCATTGTCCTTTTCCTCCTCTCATATCCGTACTCCACTGCAACAGCTCTCCATAAGCTTCTAACAAATGGCAAATAAATGGCCTGAAAATCGTGGAAAAGTTGAAAACAGCTGGAAAACTGGAACAAAACATGCAAAAGCTTCTATTCATTTGAAATGAGACATAACTGAATCCTACTGCCAAAACTATCTACTCTTCAGTGTTTTGTTAGCAGCAGTGGCCTTCTGCATTTCAAATGCAGGTGTTAGCACTAATTGCTGTAACAAGTATTTTTTTTACAAATGGATATCACAATATAGAAGCAATTTCTTTTTTACTTCGAACGACTTAGTCTTCTCTTGAAGTAGCAAGATTTTTAAGTTTGTTTATTTTTCTGAATTTTATTTGTTTGGTTGCTCTGGTTTTCATAACCAAGATGAAAAAAACAAGGAGATGTAAGTGGCTAGTCTCTACAGACTGTCCACATCAGCATTTTCTCAGCACTGGGGTAGGGAAGCAATTTCTGAGAAACTGTTTTTCCTCTGAGCCAAATAAGTAATAAATAATCAAAAGATAAATAATGAAAAAGAATGCAACAAGATTTACTAGCTGAGTCATAGCACTACGAGGTAGGCTGTACAGTAGAGTAATAAGGATGGTGAAGAGAATTTTTTCTCTTTTTCTCTTATATTATTATTTCAAGAATAATATAAGAATATACTACCTGGAAATCTTCTGGAATGCAGACAGCAAAATAAAGCCTCCTGTAAAAAATACTTGATTTTTCTCTTGAAAAAAAGGAAATCCAAAGGTCACAAGGGTTTTGATAATACTTTTTTTCCTTGGGTATGCAAATTAATAAGGCAAGTTTTGCCTAGTATGAAATTCCAGTTTGGGAAAGAAGGCAAGTAATTTGTGATTGTAGTTCTAGACAAACAGAACTAGATATTTAAAACATATATTGATTCAATTCAATCTTTTCTTGAAGGAAAAAACCTTTTGTCTGTTTTCTTTAGACTCAAACATTTTTGAGAGCGCTATGATTATTTAATGACCCTTCTTTTGCAAGCAAATGCTAGCCAAGTAATAGGTATATTTGTTTATGCTGTACTCAAAAAGTATTAAATAAAAGATACTTGAATAGCTATTTCTTGTTGATAAAGCACATTTTTAAAACATGAGCAGCATGATTAACTCACGGTTACAGCAGTAAAAACCCAACTGTTGAAGGTTATTAATACTATATAATTAATTAAAAGCTAAATTATTGTCTGTCTTTGTCTTTTTTAGGACTGAAATTAGATGATGAATCAAAATATTAATTTAGACTCCATTCAGAAGCAAATGGAAGAGATAGAGGTTTTTGGGAACCAACCAACACAACCTGATAAATTAGATAGATGTTGGCAACCAGGTGACCATCTGTTTCATTCAAATATTCCATCTCAAAGTTTCTACCCAAATTCACCTCATTATGCACATATGCATACAAGTTTCAGCAGTGATTGGGAAATTTTTGAAGCAGTAAAAATTCAGGAACTGGAGGAAGTCAAAGCCAGAGCTGCCCAAATGGAGAAGACCATGCGCTGGTGGTCAGATTGCACTGCTAACTGGAGGGAGAAATGGAGCAAAGTTAGAGGAGAAAGAAATAAAGCACGAGAGGAAGCAAGACAATTGAGAATCAAACTAGACAGTGTCATAAAAGAGCTAAGTGTACTTAAAAAAATAAATCAGGATTTAGTAAGTGAGAAGGAAAACTTAGAAAATGGAACTGCTTGGAAAATGGAATGCTGTTGCTCAGAAATATCCTGTATTAAAAAAGAACAAAGCCTGTTAATGTTTCTGGAACCAGAACCTCCGAAAGACCTAACCAAAATCATCACAATTCCTGGGGCAGAAGACACAAAGAAGGTAAAAATGGGAAATATTTTTTGTGGTTCATGAAGAAGTGATAAAGTATGGATGTGCATATAGAAATGGGATTTTTCAAGAATTTTGACAGAAATGCTGTCTGATCCATTCACTAGCAAAACCTTTGGCCCCCAGACCCACCCATCTAAATATTTCTAATACAGAAAAATACAGAAAATAATTCATACCCTTCCACTATGACTAGACTCTTAAGGAACAGAGGCAGACTGTTATAGTCAATAATTTACCATCTTGTTTTGATTCTCTGCCATGTTTTATGGTAACAGGTTACCTATCTTATCTGAATTAATTATGTTTTGTATACTTATATTCTTTCTCCCCTCTAAAAAAGAGTATTAGGTTCTTGGCTTCTAAAGAACCTAAAGTCTAAAATCATTTAATTCTCTCTGAACTTCAAAAGTGTGGGAAGAAGTAGGCAATTCTTTTGCAAATTTGCAAGACTTTTTGTTTGATCAGGAGAGTCATTAAATAATTATTAGAATTAAAAAATCAAGTATCAGCATTGTTTAAACAGCTCCTACACAAAAGATCCAGTTACATTCATCAAAAGTTGAAATATTTGTTCATGTTTAACTACCTTTAATTCTGTGCCCTGGAATGCACTGTGTAATCTTCATAGACATCACCATTTAAAAACGTTACTTGTTTTCTGGTAGATGGCAGACTTTGTAGATATAGGTAATTTTTTGCACACGTTGCAGGAAAATATTTTTCCTTGCAGAGTTGAAAGTAGGAAAGTTTTTACTTCAATTCAAGGGAAATTGCCAAGATCTTAGATCTGTACATATTCTGTTTGGAAATTTTACTCTCTAATGCATATTAAGGATATTTTAGTCCTTTGAAATCTGAAAAAATAAAAAACAATCAAACGAAAAAAAAAATTAATTTTAGCAGAAAAAATAAATTTTGCCAAAAAAGCACACCTTCCATATTTTCAGGCAGACAAATGTGCCATTGGAAGGAAATACCACAAAATATTCTTTAACTGTACTTCCCTAGTATAAAATATTTTCTACGTAAAAACTGAAACTTTATTTGTGAATGGGAAACATTTATATCTTTCCAGTGGTTTCTAGTATTTTCTTATGTAAATTTTGGTCATTCTTCTAAAAAATTCAAAAGAACAGAGTGATGTGAAAGAGGATTGTCAGTAAACTGCTAAAATGAGATTAGCTTTTAAACCAAATTCCTCAGATATGGTAAAGCAAATACATTTCTAAGGGTACCTTTTTTATAAGAGACATTCAGTCTTCCTCAAATATGTCTATTTTACTTTTAATTTTTTTCCAATTTTGATATTAGTTTTTCTTATGTTTTGTATGCAAAGCATGTATCTTCAAAATAGCTATATATATACTTTGTTCCTTATGAAAAACTTGTATAAGCCTACTTCAACACACTTTACATAAAGTTTGAGTTCATAATGTAGAGTTCCTCAATACATTATTTGTATGGATAAATTTCATTTCTGGTATTATTAGTTCCAAGATTCTGTCTTCACCAGAGTTATAGCCAACAAAAGAGAAATTTAATATATTTCCTTAGTAAAGACATTTTCAAAATATTTTGGATATGAAGCTTGTCATAACAGAAGTGTGAGATATCACAAAATTACCGTTATTAAAATATACTGACACTTTGCACCTTCTACCCATATATAGTCCAACTCTCTAAGATATTACCTATTTCTTTTCTTTCTCCAATGTTCCTTAAATGTCTAGAAGAGCCTTGGTAGGCCCTATGGAGCTATGTCTGACTTTTTCCTTATGTGTTTCTCAGGTGTCATATTTTTGTTTTCTCAGGATGTAAACAAAGGCCAAAGCAATGACAATAAAAAAATCACCACAAAGCCTCCCAATTTCTTCCCCAATGGACTTCCCAGCATCTATTTGGAGGACCCTAAAATAAGTTTGGGCACTACAGCTAAGAAAACAGAGAATGATTTAATACATGTATCAGTCTTAAATTTGCACTTGGCTGAGATGAGGAAAATCTTACAGAAGGAAAGAGAGTAAGTGCAAAATATATCCTACTTTTGCAATTCTCATAGAGGGGATGAAGACAGTTTCTAAAATAGATATGGTGATGGTTGCATTTATAGCTCATATGTTCTAAACTTTATTCATTGCTGTTTGCAAGCCTTTCATAAGAATTTAGAGAAACAATTCAGCATAGTATGTTTATTGCTTTCCTTGGCTTTTCTGTCATTTAAATAAGAGGCATTCCACATAAATATGTAATTTGCTCTCACTGCAGTGATATCTTATGTATGTTATACCCAGTTATTGGAGTGCTTTGTGCATAATAACAAACTTTCATTTACTCTACCAGCAGACTTGAAAGAGTCCAACTGCACAATGACAAAGTTGTTATTGAATTCAAAATACATGAATCGGCTGCAAAATGCTGCTAACCTCTTAACTTGTAGCAAAGTCAGTGACAAAGAGGGAGTAACACATTTATTGTACACAATAAATAATATTGATATAGCATATCAAATTTGCCTGACATAAATATTAAATGTACATTTTGGTGGCCTAAAAGAAGTTTTATGTTGTGTAAATAGTCAATATTGAGAAAGATTGAATCTCACCAGAAAGGCTTTTCAAGGAAACATGCAGCATGTGATGTATGAGGATGTAGTAGAAGACTTCAGGCTGTAATTACAGGTGACGGTAATTTCAAATCAGTTAAGTTAATTAGAAAATTAAAAGGAAGAAAATTCCCTGTCTATTGCAAATTATTCAATACTTTCAGTTCAGAAAGTCTTCAATGGTAAACTGTGCTGAAGAATTTCCTGCCCGTCAGTTTATTTCATAACTGTCGTGTAGATCGTACAAGTCTGAGGTGAAAAAAATCTTTTCAATTCCTAACTAATATTTAATGTGCTTGTTATATGAATTAGATAGTTGTAGAAATCATACAATAATTCTCTAGTTGAATTACATACCAGAATATGGCTGTGCTCTCTCTCCTTAAAATGTATTTTACTTGTCTGTGAAAGAAAATATATGTGTGAATTAGGAGACTGATGTCTCACATACTCATTTTCCTGGGGTTGAAATATTTAGGGGCCTAGGTACTTCATCAGCAATCAAGTATGCATACATATATAATAACTTTCTTTTAGAAAATGGATGATTTTTCAACTCACTTTTAGTCACTTCTCAGGCAAAACTTTAATAGGTTTTGGTTGTTCTGTTTGTCCAACCAATTCTAAGCTGTACTTCACAGAGACAGATTTTTTTCATTTATTCTTTTCTTTCATGTATTTATTTTTTCATTTTTACATTTATGAATAATTTCATATTCATTTATTTTATACTATGGTATAAGGAAATAAATGTACTGGCACGCAGTAAGAATTGGGGCACCTCTATAACATGCAACATGTGGCAATGCCAACCTCAGGCAGCAAAAATGCTCACCTAGCTGTGATTTCCACATAACAGCGGGAATTGGTATAACAACTTCCTCTCCAGGAGGGCAACATTTCCTGCATGCAGAGATGTTATGTAACCAGAATATATGCAACTTCTAAGTATGAAGTAACTATATTTGGCAATACAGACAGTAAATAGCTAGGAATAATATTATTAATATAAGCATTATCATAGTCACCAGTCTCTTGAGATGGCTGATGAATATTTGTTGAGCAGGTTGTCACCTGCTATCTCAGAAAGGGCTGGTCCCCACCACTTAGTAGAATTGGCTGATTTTGCTATATTTACAACTTCAGATTTCCAGTTTTCTCTCTTAGGTTTTATTCTTGCTCATGTCAGTATTTTTACTCCTGTATTCTGGAGTTGTTAGCAATGACTATCTCAACAATCTCACCCCGTTTGCATTTTTACTCCCCTTATCTTGTGTGGCGCTAGCTTAAGTACTTTCTCACAGCTTCTTTCTCACAACTTAGCAATTTTCTCAGTGAACTTGAGCCAAGAACACACAGCTGTGTTGCATCAAAAGCAAACAGATAATAGACAGCTTGAACCCCAAGGCCAAAGGTTACTTTAGCAGTCAGTATGATCTTACTCATACAGCAGAGGACTTCTCAGCAGTTTCCTGGCTTACATGCAGCACCCTGAACTCTGACTGCATTTTTCTAGAGTCGTTAGCTTATGCAAATCCAGTGTTTGAATTTCCCCCTAAGTTACCTAACTAGTAACCTTCTTAGCTTCCTAACTCTCTCCATAAGATATTTTGCTTTTTCACCCTGAGAAGATTTCTGCTTTTTGCATTCTGCTTAGAGCTATCATCAGTAATGTTGACATAGCCTTATGCACACAGATCAGGCTTTGCAAAGGACAAAAAGAAAGATGGTCTAAAAATAATAAAAGTAAAGAGATGAAAATTTATGTTTTTGACATTCAAAAAATATCAGGCTTGGGTTTGCAACGTAAAATTACACACTAACATCCTCTACTAGGTACTAGTGGCCTATATCAATTACACATTAACTCGAATGGAGATGACAAACCTTATGAGTGGTTCAGCATTTTGCATAATCATTTGCTAAAAATAGCTATCTTTTGTCATCTTTTGGGTCAGTCTTCTCATGTAATTTTCTTCTAGTTTTAAGATAGTAATTTGTTCTGTTTTGTGCTTAAAATGTTTGTTTCTTCTAAGACCAAAAGCCCACAGACTAGTCCACTGCTAGTTGATAATATCAAAGAGGAACTGCTTGAGACTGGCTGGGCAACCCAGACAATGGATACAAAAGGCACTGCCTGAACAACAAGAAATCTTTTTTTTTCTGCGAGGATCACTGAACACTGGCACTGGTTTCCAGAAAGGTTGCTGAGTCTGCATCCTTGGAGACATTCAAATGACATCTGGGCAAGGTTCTGAGCAATCAGTTCTAGGCAACCCTGCTTGAGCATGAGGTTTGCACCAGATGACCTTCTCGGGATCCCTCTCAACTTCAACCATTCTGTGTAATTCTGTGATTTAATTAGACAATGAGTTAAAAGGTCTTGTTACAAAATCCATGGAAAATGCTCTGAACTTGATCCTTTTATCTGCTTTATCCTTAATAAGCTGCTTCTGATGTCTGCTATAGTCTTTCTTCCACTCTGTTTTCTTTATTTAAATAGTAAACTTTATGTAATCAGAATAATTTCTTTCAATTAGTGGTATCAGAGGGAGCTGATCTCACTTAAGTACTGTAAGACAAAACAAAACTTATTTTGATTATTTAGAAGACACAAAGTGTCTTCTAAATAATCAAAATATACTGTACATTCCTCTTTTACTTTTCAGAATAGAGCATTTCTGAGGACTTTCACTGCATTCAGTACACTCAACAGGCAATTATTCAAACTATTAGAACATCGTCTTTCATGCTTTCACTTTCTATTGTATTAAGTGTCCCACTAAGAATTCTCTTAGTTCCCAATGAAGTTAAGATATTATTCCAATGAAATATCCCATTACTTTGAAAGCAAAACTGTTACATTGAAATGCATGAAATACATATTGCTCCATTTTGCTTTGTGAATAATGGCGTTTATTTTATTATTGTAATGTTATGGGATTTCTAGGTCTTTGCTAAGATAAGCTGTGCTATATACTAAATCTAGGCAGAAAAAAAGGAGATCCCTGATTCAAGAGCATTAGGTTTAGGTATAAAGTAAGAGAGAAGGATATTTCACTATAGTGGATTGCTTCATTAAAGTGGCCAACATTGCTTCCAGGACCTGAGTCAGTCCAGTCAGTGGCAACTCTTGTTATCTCTGTGCAAGACTGCAGTCTGCTGCATAGAAGTGCCCCAGACAAATTCCATCAATACATTTTACTATAATAGGTGAATATTTAAACCAAATATTCTCAAAATATAGTTCTACTAAGCCCATCAATAACATCTTTATTAAAAAGGTTGAAAAGTTCAGTTGGTCTCCATTAGAATAGAAAATAACTACTGTGGCACACAATAGTTTCTTTAATTGCCAGCATTAGAATTTTATTTTCAACTATTTAATATTTTTCTCATTGTACAGGCATAGTACTTCTACACTAAATAATACATTTTCCTAAAATATTTCTAGCATTTTCTTCCAGGAGCAATTATTTTTGAAACATGAAATATACATCTCTTAATAATGTTTTTTAACGTTTAACTTCAATCATATTTGGTTTCTGGTCTTGATAGTATATTTCCCCCTGTATACATGTGTTTAATCCTCTGTTTTTAATACAATTTCTTTGAGGGTCTTCACTAATTGTGAAGAAACTTGAGATAAATTAGGTGGCCTGAATCACTAACTGAAGTCAAATTTTCTTCATTTTATCACAAAATTTTATTTCATTTAAAGTTTTGATTCTATACTACTGGATTTCTGTTTTCTATTTAACTATTATTTTTGGTGAAACGTCTGAGCTAATTATGCAATGATAATAAAGGTTATTGGAAAAGTCAAGAGAAAACTCAAGCTATGAGAAGGAAATTCAAAGCAATTTTTGTTCTGTCAGCTTCAAAATTGTGCAATGCTAAATGTTAAAATACTTTTTTTAGAATGAATGTATTTCTGGAGAAAGAAATGGAAAAGATGGAAAATGAATTATTTATTTGGAAATGGAAATATGAAGAACTGAGACAAACCAAGCTGGAAAGCCTGAAACAGGTATGTTAGCAGTACATTGTCATCACATGAAGTAAGAAAAAGGATTTAGACTTCTGATTTCCTGTGTTGTAATTAAGAATTAATTGTGTTAATTGTGGGTTTATGAGTGTGATAAATCCACCATCTATCAATGATTATTCTGTGTAGACAGATGGGAGGGACCTGTTGAGGGTGTGTGGATGCTATCATGGCAGCACTGGTGCTTGGGAGCTGTGAGAGTGGCACTGGGATGGCTCCACAGGCTTCCAGGAAAGGACCAGCCAGAGGCAGCAGGTTCTGGTGCTCCATCCCCATGCGTGGTGAGGCTGGTGGTCCAGCAATGTGTGATCAGGGTCCAGTGGGGCTTGTATTCAGAGAGAAAGGGCTCATGTTGGGTGTGGGGATGTTCAGGAAAGCCCTGCCTGGAGAAATAGAGCAGTAGAGGTGTAGAAAGTGCCTGAAAAAATACGTTGTCCCCATCAACCTGGACAAGGAAGTAAGGCTGGGCAGGATCAGAGAATGCAAAGAGGAGATTAACAGGATCTTCACAGGCACCCAGAGATAAAAAAGTCTGAACCACATGGGAGGGGCAGCCAGAGGCTGTGAGTTTCACAGTTAATAGAGTCCCGCAGTAGGAGGGCTGGAAAGGTATGTTCTCCAGGAACTGGAGGATGGCTCTTTTTCCAGATCTGCAGTTCAAAAGGTTCAAACACCTGGTAGTGAAGTAAGAGAAGAAAGCTATAACTTGTGAGGCATCAGAGCCAGCTTTAACACACACCATGCATTAACATCAGGAGGAAGCAGCAAGTGGTAGTAGTAGGAGACTTGCTCCTGTGAGGATAGAAACCCCTGTGTTCCCCACTTGCTTTTTGAGGGTTAAGTGGCTTGCTGTGGGCTAGGATCCAGAAAATTGCAGAGAGATTGCCAAGGTCTGTGCAGTCCTTAGACTGCTATGCTACTACTCAGCCTGATGGGCATCAGCCAGGAGCATATTGGGAATGATCACATAGCTCTGGGGTTGAGGTCATGGGGACCCAAACTAGGAAAGGAAGCAATGAGAGATTACAGACCACAGTGAAATGAAGGACAGGTGGTTGGCTGGAAAACTCAGGACACAGGTTGATAGGAGCACAAAAGACTTCAGGAATGATAAAACAATGTGAAGGGACACCTGTCTCAAATGTTGGTAAAGAAATGCACACATCCTAGGAAACAAGCAGTGAGAATTAGAATTGTATGTGGATAAAGAACTACAATATTGTTGGAAAAATTCAAATACTGCGCCAAGTCCATGCAACTGGACTACTGTGAAGGACTTCTAGAAACACTGACAAGGAAGGGCTGAGGGGATGGAAGTTGCCTTCAGATTTAAAAGCAGCTCAGTTCTTTTGAGATCTCCAGAAGGATGGGGGATAATCAGACTTGTGAATCCAGGATCAGAGGACAGGCCAGTGAGGGTGTCATTGTGGTAGGAGTTTATTACAGACCACCTAATGAGGAAACAAAAAAGTGTTTCAAGAACACATCTCGAAGTTGTAAATCCCAGGTCTCGTGGGTGGCTACAGCTGCTAGAAAGTTAGAATAGCTGCTGCAATCACAGAGATTTCAGTGGGGTTTCCAGAATAAATTCTAGCTGAAGGCCAACAAGTGGTGATGAATAACTGGATTTGTTGTTGACTAATATGAAGGAAACTAGCTGGGTATGTGAATTATTTCTTCTTCTGTGGTAGCTTTGAAATAGCGGTGTTGATCATCCTGAAAGAAGAAAGGCAAGTAACAGAGTACAGACCCTGAACCTAAGGAGAGCAGGATATTGGCTTAGTCAGGGAACTGCTGGGAAGGGTCCCATGGGAGGCAACTCTGATAGGTAAACAAAGGAGTCAACCAAAGATGTCAGGCCTTGGAGTACAGCAAAGGTTTGTCCTCATACTTGGGAGAACAGGTAGACGTGCCAGGAGACCAATTTAGCTCAGCATGGTGGAGTTCTGATGCCAGAAAGCAATTTACTTTTACAAAGATAAGCCTTGAAGGAGTAATTTAAGAACATTGCCTGGTTGTGTTGAATTGGTGTTAGGAAATACATGTTCATTTCAATCTGCGTTCATGACTAGAAGAATAAGAAATATTAGTATTGCAGTTTATGGGTTTTAGCTTTCAGGACAATGGATAGAGGACCTCTTTGATCCCTCAAAACTCAAAATGTATGTCTATATAACTAAACACAGATAGTGAATTAAAAATGTCCTATGAATTTAACATCTCAAATTTGGAATAATGGAGGGAATTTTATTAGCTTTATTTCATGTTCTGGAAAGAATTGCAAGCAGTCTATTAAATCTCAAGTTCTAGTTAATAGGTGATGCATATGCAATGCAGCAGCAAACTAATATCTATATTTCATATTTGAGTTCCTTCAGATTTTAGTTCTTTATTTTCTACTTGCTCATTAAGTAGGATTTTTAGCTTGTTATACTTGTGCAAAACAGAGGAAGTATGGGTTTAGTTGATAGTTTTGCTTAAGAAATGTAATCTTTATGAAATTCTTTATGGCACTGTCATCAGGAATAGAACAATAGGAAGTAAAAATTTTCTGAGAATTCATTGGAGATAGATAAAAATATTTATGCATTTGCATGTCTACATATATGTGTTGCTGCTTTTTTCTTGGGAACATGCTCGATTTCTTTAATTGTTAACAGGAGGTAATATTTGAGTATTCTTTTCAGCTTCTGATATTTATGACATAAATCTCATTTTTAAATTGCAGAAAAACACTTATCTGGATGAATCTGAGTAATTTGAATGAAATTATTTATATCAGTGGTGGGGGTTTCTGTAAGCGGAAACTCTACTGAAATAAACCAAACCTTGTGTGTTAACAACACAGATGTGAATTTTACTCACTATATATTGCTGTTGAGAAATGGATGCTGGAACAACAGACAAGATTTTTGACAGTGAAACATTTGAAAGTGAAATAAAGGAAAGTGCAGAAATCTACTAAGCTAAGCATGGAATCTGATTCTAATATAAATTTCCACTATTAAATCACAAAGGAATTTCTAGATTAAAAGCAGATCAATCATTACATCTGGATTATTTTCATATCCTTGACTAAATTAATCTTCTATTTCCTTTGGTAGATTGCCTAACAGTCCCACTGTGAATGTGAAAAAAAAGTGCTTGGTTTGCAAGTGACAGTGCCACTGCAAATGAAGCCATTTTTAGGAATGGATAGCTCTTCTAGCCTTTTCGAAGTTGGAGAGATTTTGGGGAATGTTGGAAACTTCACAGCTGCCAAGACTTGATAATTAGTGCTCCCAGTAACTAATCACTTTCTTTATTTACTTTCATTAAAAGATAAGTATTTACTCAGCTTGGAATAAACTAAATATGGAAAATGTTGTTGATCTTGCTGATCATGGTTTTAACGTATTATCCATTCAGCATCAATTTGGAAGTTGTAAATAAGTTTTCAAAGTATTGAGTTAATTTAAAAAAGTAGTAAAGAGACAATTTATGATCATAGTAACCATGAGCATTATAGGCAGCTTTGTGTGACACTACCATTGATCTTGACTTGTTTGGGGCCATAAATTAGACCGTTTTAACAGGTACAACAGAAAGTTGCATTTGGTGTTGTGACTGATAATTTCTTTTTTTTTGTTTTAACGATTCTGTTCGTCCATTAAAAGATGTAAAACACTTTATTATTTTAAACAGGAGAGAAATTACTCAGTATAAAATTACACTAATTGTTGTCTTTACATGAGTATCTACAGAAAGGCAAAAGTTGTTTGTAAGGCTGTTGAGTAAATAAAGAGTATTGACATTAGATATGCTTGGGTTTAAAGTAAACTTTGTTGGAAAGAGTAGGAATCTTTAAGTTCTCTGAAGAACATGAAAAATTTTACATCTATAATTTTGCTTGTTGAATGTCCCCAGGAATGGAGTATCCAATTTTTTCAGATACAGTTTAGTTTACAGCTCCATTAACCATCAATCTGAGAAACAAAAAAAAGTATGTCTGAGTTTGATTAGTTAGGCCTTTGGACTCTGGAAAACAAAGCAAATCCTTGGTGTGTTGCTGTGATGTTTATTAATATAGAATTGGAGTCAGCAAGCCTGTTGAAGTCTTAGGTTTTAGAATGATCATTTAATCTTATGTGCAATAAAACATTCTTGTTTATACTCGTTGCAAATCTTCCTCAAAATGTTATATCCATCTTTATAAATCCCGAAGGATGTGCTTTTCTGGTCATTTAAGAGCTAAATAAGATGGAATATTTACAAAAATATCCTGAAAAACATGGGAAAATGCATGTACTACTATAGTCCACTGGTGTGCACTGTAGACTTACAAATGTCTCTATAGGCAGTGCAAGTCTGTGTTGTTTAAAAGAATTTTCAGTTAGCTGAAGTACAGAATGTACTCTTCCTCTACATTATTTAGTGCTTTGGTAGTTAATGAGGGAAATTCCTATCTCAGTTTGTGGGATATGAATCAAAAATTACACTAATTGGTACTTAAATCTTTTAGAAGCATCAGTGATTAAAAAGTATACCTAGATGAAAAGGAAAACAATCTAAATGACCATTTGGTATATTTGGCAGAGACATTTCTGTTCTTCCTCTTTTATTTTTTTACAATTGAACGTACGTCACCAGCTATTGATTTTGCGATAAAGCCAAAAACCCCATCTTTAAACATTTTTTTAAACAAATGTTTTCTGTTCTCTCTCTCAGTATATAGATGTATTACATTATATTACAACAATCTATGTATTGTTCTTAGGAGCATTACTTTCTTTAAGAGATTGTGAATGGTTCCTACCTGTTGTTCCCAGATGCCAGATGAAGGAAGCTCCACTAATGTGAGTGAAGCTTCTGGATAAATAAACTTTTCTCCTATCATTGTAAACATTTAAATGCTCTTTAAAGTGGAACAGCCTATTTGGAGGCCCAAGTTGTCAACAGGTAGATCTTGTTAAAGTCTCTGGATGATTTCTACCTTCTCCAGA